CTCCCAGTGACCAAAGTCGGCGTGCGCTGCCGCTGAAACAAAGGCAGCACGCAGCGCTGCAGGCCCGGAGAGGTCGACTAATTAGGGGCGCATTTTCCTCTTTATCGCATTCGGGCCGGGTTGCGCTTCTTCAGGCGACTGTACGCGGTCGCTCATTCCACGCCGTTAGGGTCAGACTGATCGAAAAACTAGTCTGCTAGCGTAACGGGCGTATCATGTCCGGCTGGGTGCTAGTTCGAGCTGTCAAAAAAGCCGCGTGTCAACTGAAATGATACCATCGTAATCCTCCCAGTGGCACAGGGACCTGCCAAAAAGTGCGGCGCGGGACACTTGAGGTGGACTGGCTCTGTACATCGCCATTCGGAGAACTGCCGTGATTCGTATTTCCAAAGTATCAGGGGAGAGGGGGGGGGGGAGGGGGGAGGGCGTTTCTGCGCACCCAATCTTCGTCCGGCGCCACGTGCGCCGTAGCCTGTCAGCGACGCGGTGGGGAGACTGCGTTATCGCACAAGGGACATCACCGAAAAACTGCGACGCGCTACCGAACGATAACACATGGGTCGCGGCAACCATTCTTGCATGGAAAACGAGCGAATCCGCCAATAATGTGGAGTGCTGACAAGTGCTTGTGCCCCGTCGGCTCCCTAGTGGTGAAGCAGGACACCCTTCCTACGGCCCTGGCCAGCCGTGCGACGACAAAGCTCGCGCGAAGGCAAACAGCCCTCGAACGACGAGGAGCAAGAGGCAAACACGATGAGCAATGTTTGAGCGGGAGTGCGGCGCCCGAGTCCAGGACCGGTTCGAGCGAGGACCAGTTCTTGATTTATACATCCCACCCATCACTTAGGCGGAGGGCCGTCTACCGTGCTACGCGCGCCGGCGCGGGGCGGGCCGGCGTCGGGTGCGACCAGTCGGACCGGTCGCGGCGGCACGTTCGCACCCCTCGCGACACCGCCCCGGGCAGGCACTCACCTGTCGACGTCGGGCCGCTCGAAACTGGGCAAACGGGTCTGCGCCGTGGCCCGCTCCATGGCTGGCAGTCGCTGCACACTGCCGGTGGCGCCGGGCGAGCCGGCCGCGGCGGCGCCGCGCCGCCGCCAGGTGTCGGCCCGGTCGCTCTCCGCCCGCGGCGCCCCCTCCCCCCGCCGCCTGCCGAGATTGCACGGCTGATAGCGGCCGCCGGCCGACTGCAAACTGCAGCGCCGGCGTCTCCGGCGCGGAGGAGCCCGGCGCCGCTTATCACGTGGGCGGCGGCCGCCGCCGCCGGGCGCAATCATGAACGCGCTGGAGCGGTGCCAGCAGCCGCGCTGAAATGGCGGGACGCATGCAAACGGCGCGAGAGGAGCGCGCTGTCACCCGACGACCGCTGGCCCGCTGCTGGGGAGTGTCTGTCTGTATAAAATGAGGCGTCTCGCGCTTAGCAAAACAGCCGGTGCAGAGGCTAGAGGCTTGAGCCCCAACCACCCGGGCCGCGAGTGCTGCGTGACGGCTGGGAGCCGGGCTTGTTTACTTTCTCAAGCCTGCGATTCGCCGGCCACGATACGTTGGGTGTTTGACCCCTGCTACCGCGGAGAAACGCGTCATTCTCCAGACTGCCGAGCCCTTGTTGGTTCGAATTCAGTTAGCGCCCCGGCTTATTCAACGGTGAAGCTTTGCAATTAAGGTGAAAAGCGGAGTAAATAAACCGCCGTTAGCCTGTCTTGGCGCAGGCCACCAACCGCCTCGTTAAGTGCCCGCCGTCGGCCGTATTGCATTCGTGCGCTCGCGGCCGCGCATGGGCGGGATGGAAATCGAGAGGGCTCGAGGCCGTGCAGCGCCAGTGGCCGGCTGCCGTAAAATCCCGGCGGGAGGGGCGTGCAAGCATGGCGGATGTTGCACGGCGGGATAAGGGCGTGGGCGTGCACGGACTCCTCAGTCGCCCGGTACGACGCGAATGCACGGCCGACGACGCTCCGTATCTGGCGCGAGGTACGAAGCGTCCCGCTGTAACCTGGGCTATCGACGCAGCGCTGTAGCCTGGATTGACGATGCGAGAGAGCGCCCCACTGTCCGACCCGACCATCACACCCGGCGCAGTGGCGGCGCCCCCCCCCCCCCCCCGCAGGGACCTGCGCGTCTTATGCCATGTACTCGGCGTGCTCGGGACCTAGCCCGGACAGCGGCCGGCAGGTCGCCCCGCGTGCCAGGTCAGGCCGCCCGATCAGCGCGGATGATAGGCTTCTGGGGCGCGCCGGCACCAATGGCGATGGCCGACCGTTATTCGCTGCATCTTGCCAAGTAGCGGGAACTCTACTGCTTTTCTCGCTGAGCGGATCCGCGAACTCATCAGCACAGAGCGCCAATGGCATTGGCGCAGCTATTCAAGCAAACAGCACGCTATAAAAGTCGTCAACACGTGACAAGGCGCTTCCGCTGCGTGCGCGATCGGCCTTTCAAGACGAGGCTTTGAGGACACTCGCTCGTGTAGCATTAGGTAGACCGGAGATATAGTGCACGCAGCCCGAGTATACTGGAGTTTAGTCCTGTCGTGAGAGGACGGAAAATGTGTGGAAGTCGGCCGTCGTCTTATTGTGTTACTCGTCCTGATTTCGTTCCCCTCACTGACGCATTGATAAGATGACAGCCGTCTGCGTGCAGAGAAACATCCGCAACCTAAGACGCTTGGTAAGCAGGAGACGAAGTAGACACACGTACAAACAGATCATATATTGACATATTGACAAATTCAGCGCTCCCGCCATGCGCCAGTATCTGCAATGCTATGGAAGTATGGTCGTAAAACCGCGCGAGATTGCCGTCAGCGTCTCACAAATCGAGTCCCTGAACGACTCCGAGCAGGTTCGCGAGCCCGCCAGTACAGAGCGCGAGTGACATTGGCACAGCTATCCCAAGCAAATAGTACGCTATAAAAGTCGCCGGCCCGTGACGGGATGCTTCCGCCGCGTGCGCGACCGGCCATCTCTGAAGGCGAGGCTATGGGCCCGGCGCGGAGGGCCGCCGCGCGCCGGCTGCCCGCGGGCGGCCGCTCGCTCTCCGCGCGCTCGGCCGCAGCCCAGCCCAGAGCGGCGGCAGACGAGCGGGAACGGCGCGAGACGACGCGAGCGGAGCGGAACAGCCTGCCGCCGATCCAAGCGCCGGAAAACGCTCCGTCCGCCGAAAGGGCACTGCGCTCGACTTACGGCCACGGCCAGCCAGTGTAAACGCACGGAAGCGGGCGACCAGGAGACAAGGCGACCCACCCGATCCGGGCGACGCCGCACAAGAAAAGCGACGGGCGGCCTACAAACGGAGCTATGAAGACGAACCGCCCGGGACTAGATGTGTGAAGACGTCGAACCATGTGAACTGTAGGAACATATGCTCCCCCTTCCACTCCCCACACTTGCAGCCAGCGGTCGGCCCTCCCACGCCGCGCTGCGAGATTCTACCCGGCAGTGTCCTGCCAGGGGGGCGGCGCGCGCCTGTGGCGGCGCTGCTATGAGCGCAGTCTCGAGACGTGCGAGTATGTCCAGGTGGCCGGGGCCCTGGACAGGCCGCCGGCGCCGCCGTCCGCTGTCCGCCGGACGGTCACCGGCACACCCGATCCAGGTCGGACCGAGCCGTGTGATGCTGATTCGGCGCCGACTGTGCGGCCGCGCGTTTGGGCATGGCATGTCCCGGTATTGCAGCGTCCCGGCCCCAATCACTTCATCAGCGACACGGCGTCGCGGAGCGGCATGCCCGCGCCTTGTGAGCCTCGAGGAGTCTCCCCGGCTGGACGGCCAGGGAGGCGGCCCGGGCCAGGTGGCCGTGTAGCCGCGAGGACGGCCCGGTGAATCCCCAGGTGTACCCGCTGGACCGGACGGCTCGGGAGGCGGCCCGAGCCGGGCGGCGGCGTTCTCCCGCGAGGATGGCCAAGTGAACCCAGAGGATTACCCACCGGGCCGGACACGGTGACCCGCTACGGCTGCCAACAGTTCGTGAGCGCAGAGCAGGCTCCGATTGCACGGCGGCGGCGCCGACGGTCTGGCGCCGTGTTCAGCGCGAGCCGAGAGAGAGCCGGGGTGAGCCGCTGACGCCAGCGGCGCTCGTCAGCGTCCGTCCAAGGCGAGCCCGAGTGGGCGAGGTCACACGCCCCCGAGGACGACGATACAGAGGTGCCAGCCCGGGACAGACAAGAAGGAGAGAGCGAAAGCCGGCTCACAGACGAGAGCTCCCGGCCGCGCTGATCCGAGCCGCGCGGCAGTGGACGAGCCGGACTGAAGATGGCAGCACCGCACCGATGGCATAGCGTCACGTCTCCGAGGTCGTCACGGCGCAGCGCTCCCGGCACGCGCAGCACGCGGCGCACACGGCCAGCGCCGCCCGGCGCCCGGCCTGACCCGGGAACAGCGGCCTGCCCGCCGGCGGGAGCGCGCCCGCACCGGCACGCGCCCCGGCCGAACAGTCCCAGGCTGTGACGGCCCCTGGTCGGGCCGCGCCGCGGCCGCGCGCCAGCGACAGCGTGGTCGAGCCGAGGCGGCGCCGGGGCGGACCCGGACGTGACCGCCCCGCCTCTGCGTGAGACACCACGCCCACGCGGCGCGATAGAGTCGATTCGGGTGATTTGGGTGACGAGTAAGCCCGGACCCGAGCGCGGAAGTCGGCCAGTGTCACCCGTAATTCATCCGGTCACGTGATGAGTGTCCGTCGGAGTGCTTTCACAGGCCAGGAGATTCGTCGGCGCCAGTACCGGAAGTAGGCCGTTCGTCGCGAGCAGAGCATTCCACGTGACCCGGTCAGAACAGGTGCCAGCGCCAGGTCAGCCGCTCGCGGGACGGCCGGGCCGGGAAGCCCTCCGCCCGCGGCCTCCCCGCAGGAGCGTTGAGCCCGACCGCCGCATCCCGCGTCATCTCCACTGCACACGCTCACACACAGACACAGTGCCCACGGCGCTTCCTCTGCAGAACGAAGACCTAACCACTGGCGCGGGGCCCGGGGCGTCCTGCGGCCGCCGCCGGCCGCCGGCGCCGCTCGGCCCGTCACGTCACCAGGTGGCCCGAGCCCGGGCTGGGCGGGCGCAGCTGCTGCCGCAGCGACGCCGGCAGCAGGTAGTAGGTGCCGTTCTGCACGTGCCACTGGATGTACGGGTTGTTCTCCGGGAAGTGCTGCGAGTCGGCCGCGTCGTTCTGGAACGGCTCCGGCTCCGGGTGGTGGTAGTTCCAGTTGTCACCGCTAGAGGCTAGCGTGGTGCGCGTCGTCTCGTCCCGGATCAGGCTGTACTGGGCCGACGGCAGCCAGCGAGGCAGCAGCGCCACCAGCAGCGCGCAGCAGGAGGCCAGCAGTGCCAGCACCTGCCGGGAGACGACATGTCAGCAGCAGCGACGGCAGCACCAGCAGCAGTGCGCAGCAGGAGCCCAGCAGCGCCAGCACCTGCCGGGAGACGTCAGCAGCAGCGGCAGTAGCGCCAGCAGCAGTAGCAGCGGTAACAGTAGCAGCGTGCAATAGGAGGCCATCAGCGCCAGCTCGCGTCTGGGAGCGACACTTCCACAGACGCGACAGAAGGAATGACCGCACCCAACAGGGCCCCGGCCCTCAGTGCAGACGGTGGCAGCTTAAGTGGCAGGGGAGACAATCAAGTAAAGCCTAGTTGGTTGGAAGCCGGCACATAAGTCCACAGACAGGTGCCCGCGGCCGCACTGCGCGATGAGCGGATTTTTAGTGATAAATTGCAGCAACAGAGGTGGCAGCTGTGAGGACAGCATGGCGGGGTGGGGGGAGGGGGGAGGGCAAATACGGGAACGGTACCGACAGCAGTAAATACACTCGGTGGCGTACAGAAGACAGGCTAGCAGCATGGGGGTAGTCTGGTGGGTAGAAGACGCCATACGCCACAGGCAACGGCGTGAATGGACTGAGCCACATGAGCGGTCCGTAGACTACCAATGATGCACTACGCACATCTGTCCGCTGAGCGATATCAAACGGTATGAAGTGATAACATCCACAGCACCAGTTGATACATAGTTCTACAGAGCGGTTGGTACAAAGCATTGACACAGATCACATAATTACTTGGAAAAGCGTCATTGTGTGAAATATATAAACGTGTCGCCGTGTGAAAAGTGACGTCATTGACGAGGACAACAGGAAAAATAATTACTCCATCTGTATTAGTTGAAACACTTCACACATTACCGCCCAGCCACAAAAGGCCAATTCCGTGTTCCACCCAATTTCAGCGTAAATAACGACACGTCACCGGATGGACAGAGAACCTGATGTGTTCTGGGACATAAGGGGAGAAAGATGGCTACCTGCTGTGTACCCGAATCAATACCCGTCACAGGGTACTTTTTGTCCTCGGTTCCGACTGAAGCGACGACGCCAATAGCTTCATCAATCCGTGCACGCTGACAGATAGCCACTCATCGATCATTCGAATGCGCTGGCGACGGGAAAATGATTTACGCTCTTAGCATGGCACCAGTCTCTGCCACTGGGCGCGCCACACCCACGCCGCCGTCAGGCTACCCACGGAGCCCGGCCGTCTCTCACCGCGGCGCCGGTGGTGCAGGCGCGCGTCCACGTGGAGAGCGCCGGGTACTGGTACGTGTAGAGGTAGGCCTGGTGGAGCAGCAGCACGGCGGCGGCCGCGTGCACCACCGACAGCAGGCAGAAGAGCCACGTGTGCTGCCGGGGCGGGACGCCGAGGGTTAGACGGAAGGCTGCGCCGGTGTCATGCCCGGCGGCGTCAACCGGCGGTGACCGTGCAAAACGCGCTAAACTGGATTGGAAGTGGCAGTTACGCTATAGGAGCTCGAACGGGTTTAAGAGACAAGATCAGAGAGAACATCAGCTTAATCAAAAGCGAGTCCATTTTTGCATCAGGTTTGTTTGCTCGTGCCCGTCCATTATCAGTAGTAGGTAGTACCACACAGTTACATTATTCGTCAGCACCATTACAGCATTGTAGTTAAACACGCCTGGGCAACTGAGCCTGTCCAATTAAGGCAGCGCTGTACGACCGCACCTCGGCCGCGTGGGCGAGGCAGGCGAGGCCCATTCATCCCTGCTTAGGACAGCCAATTCAGGACTCAATGACCGCTGCAAGCCATTGTCGACATGACAGCTGAAAAATACCGAAGGGAAAGCCATCCGACGATGATTAACAAGGGCCGAGTGCGCCGGTATATCACGCCGCCGCGGCCGGGGCTGCCGCGGGCCGCCGCGCCGCACGCGAACGAGCCCGAGTCGCCCCGCGCCGCCGCCACGCACCATGAGCGCCCAGTTGAGCAGCAGGACGTACTGCAGGCGCGTCACGTGCACGAACAGCAGCAGCGCCGTCCACAGCAGGCAGAAGACGGAGCTGAAGACGGCCAGCCGGGTGTGGCCGGCGTGCGGCAGCAGCAGCGGCGAGCCAAACGCGGGGTCGCCGCTGGCACTCACGCTCGCCAAGCAGCCCACGCTCAGCGCCTGCCGACGGCGGCGCCGGTCAGCGGTGCTGGCTCAGGTGTCCGCCTCGCGCCGCTTGTCGAGGGACGGAGCGGGTGGCGTGTGGGGTTTGGGCGCGTAATGTCAGCGCTCTTGAACGCGGCGCTGTCGGTGGGATGGTGTGGATTGTGTGGGAGTCGGGCTAGTCCTTCGACGCGAAGTGTTGCGCACTGCCGGCGCCGCCGCTCGCACCTCCGTACAAGCACACACACGCAAACACACGCACAAACAGGAGTCGGGTATCAAGGAAGAAATAGCGCTGTCACACAGCGGAGGGCGGGTCACGTGGCAGGCATGAGGGTGACTTCAGGCGCCATCGGAGTGGTCCTAATCTCGCCCATGGGACCTACAGACGAGGACTGGCCGCTCGGACGCCTCTCGCAATGATGCCAATCCGACAATCTCCCGCCCTGCACGAGCGCGATCCTCGTCTCGCGCGATCAGAACGGTCTCGAGGGCCCACACAGCGGGGATAATCCCGCTCAGCATGGCCTGAGCGCACCGGCTGACCCAGGTGTGTGCCACGTGCGCCGTCACGCGGTGACCGCTGCAGGCCCCTGGCGCGATACCACCCGGGGTGAGTTCAGCCGGGGGCGCGGCCGCCAATCGGACGGCGCGTGCCGCCCCTTGGGACGGGAGGACTGTCTGGAGACGCCGGGTGCGCCGCGAATGACGGCCGGGCGTGATCACGGCAGGGGGAGCTTGCTTTGGTCTGGATCATGGCCCTTCAGACTAAAAGTGGCCAGTTCAGGGACAAGGGAGGATGGTGAGGCAAGTGCTAAGCAAGATTGCATGCATCTGAGAGTCCTCCGCTACTGAACTCACCCCGCACAGGAACCCCTATTCGGAGTGTACGACATAACTGCTAAGGAAAAACTCTTGCCCACAGGAATGTTGTGGTATTAGTTTTATGCGATATCACTTCTACTCCAAAAACTGCTGCAGACTTAACTCATACGCGATAGCACTTCTGCTGCAAAGTCAAGGCATGAGGAGGTCACAAAATATACTTCAAAAGCATATTTCCGCCATGACGTACACTGCAAAAACGTGTTTTTTTACACGTGACATTGCTTCCGCTACATAAACACGTGCACAACACGATTCCTACTTAATAAATACTGCACTTACATGTAAAATTACTCTTGTGCGGCAAAACTTTTGGCAAAAATGCTTATACCCGTCATGCCTATCGCGAAAGCCCATTAAAGAGAGTACTCGACCTTTTTGTACTTTTCATTTCTTGTTAGATCAGACGCGTGCGATTTGACCCGCAATACTAGTTTTCTCAGAATCCCTCTAAACAGCTCAGAATCTTGATTTAAAGTAGCCATTCCTTTCCAAAAAATACCATTTGACTCCCTGCTCACCACTATGAAAGTGATACATTTCATATGCGTTGTTTTTCCAGCATGTGTGTTCTGTAATGTTTGCAACACAGAAATGTGTCACAATGTCGGTGTAATAAACTCCACGTAACCTTGAAACATTCTGTTAGGACAAAAAATTATGCGATAATGAAGCTGTTATCCCGCGAATTCAGCGAAACGTTACGCTGTGGTTTTAATTTCTCCCCGACTTACATCGTGTTTACCGCGGTGGCTCTTTTCAACGCGAACTTTGGCCCTGGGCGTGGGAGCATCACATGGTCCGCAGCGACGCCTGGTTCAAACTTTAACCAGCGCGCTTTTGGCTAACAGACCCTTGCCGCCTGCTGGGCCGATCATGATTCTTTTTTCATTCACACCAGAAGAGATGCGCACGGCGGTTGCGATGGCGACGGTGGTTGCGACTGCGGGGAAGAAGAGTAGTTCTGTTACAACGCGTTGAGAGCGTAATTTGGACCCAAAAATATCAAAATGAGAATCCTCTTTACGTTTAAGCGGTGCTGCAGTGGCAATACCCAGTCCATTATTAGGCGCAACTGGTCCTCAGGTTTCACGAGAGTATGATTTTGAACTATGCCCCAAAGGTGGGACACTCCCTTTAAGTCTTTACCTATAAGCGATATTACTTCTACGGCCAATACTTCGGTGCCAGACATTTGTACTATACGACACAGCCCATACTTCAAAAATTATACCAGTCAGTACTTCTTCTCATAGGTAACGCCCAACCAAAATCCCCGAGGGAGCAAACACATGGAAGCTTTTCAACGGGCAAAATCAGACTGGAGATGCCCACTCCTTGGTGCAGATGCATTGGTACTGTTTCAAACTTTGAGATCGGCAGACTCGCGACTAAAATAGTTTTACGCGACATTTCCTCTACTGAAAGCATCCAGTGCAATGCTATAGTGTTTCAAAACAAGTCTGTGGGCTGGGAACGATCAAACCTGCCCCGAAATGCATTAAACACTGCGTTTGCCCCTGTGTGACACGCCTTACTGCCATAGGTAACGGGTGGATGGGGTCCCTGATGGAAAATGAAACTACATCCCCGGTCTGGTGTTCACCAAAACACGACTGCTTCGACTGCTATTACTTATATACGGCTCTAGTGCTACAAGAAAAACGAATACTTCCAAAAGTTTTACCCCTCATTGAGATTCTGCTACGAAATCTAACACCTTGATCTTTACGCCAATTACAACTTAACAAAATAACGTAACTTATGAGTGAATAAATTTTCGTATCGGCACCACGAACCTCTATCGCAGTGTTGTCCAGTTGGGCTCCCTCTTAACTTGCAAAGTGATCCTACACCCCTGCTAGATATCCACGCATTTTGTATTTCCCGTCCAGTATTGGCAGTAGAAGCGTTGTCGCGGCGCATTCATAAAGACTGCAAGCATTTGCAGTAAATGTGATGATGGATATACATTCCTGAAGCGTAACGTTTGTGGTGAAGCATTGTCACATATAAGTATTCGCAGTAGAAGAAATGTCGTGTACAATTTGTAAAAGTGATGACCGGTGTAACGTTTTGAATTATAAGTTGTGCCGGGTTTCAAAAACGTCGCGTATCAGTCTCTGCAGTACAGGTAATGCTGTGTGTACGTCATGATTGTAGTTTTTTGCAGCAGAAGTAATGACGGTTATAAGTTTCAAGCATATGTTTTGTCGCATAGCACTAATGTTGCGTATCAGCATTTGCTGATACGCAACATTGGAAGCAGAAGTGGTAGAAGTCATGTCGCAGCACTCTTGTGGGTAGTTTTTACTGCACCACTAATGCCGTGGCAGCCCCTCCGGCGCACACGCGGGCGCACTGGCGGGGCCCCCGCCAGCGGGCACATGAGCCCGCTAATGGCTGGTGCGTGCAGCCTGCCCCGGATGCTGCAGGGGTTCAGGATGGGGCGTGCATGATGGAAGAAGTACGATTGTCGCCAGCAGGACTACCGTGCCTGTATACGGGAGATGGGCCGTCGGGTGAGCAGTCGATGCGAGCAGCTGGCGAGTGCACTGATCAGATGAGCGTGAGCGCGACCAGCGCCATTCCATTTCGATTTCCCATTTCCACCGGCACCGATTTGTGTGGGTGGTGGTGTGAAATGGAGCAGCCTTGCACTGCTTTGTCGCGGTACTGAGTGGGGAAGCCTGTCTTCATTGGGCATCTCCGACGGCAACACCGATCACGAGTGCACGGAAACGCGACTCCGTAGCCGCGCCTTCACCGTGACATTGAGATCACCACTCACCCTCCCACCACAAGACCTCTCATCATCGGCGCGCCCCCGAGTCCCCTCGCCGTCAGTCCACCGCCTGTCCCTCTTCTCACGCGGCCACCGCCGTCTGCCCTCGCCACGAGACCGCGGGCGCCGCCGTCTGCTCTCATCACGAGACCGCGGCCACCGCCGTCTGCCCTCACCACGGGACCGCGAGCACCGCCGTCTGTCCTCACCATGAGCAGCATCTCGCCGATGCCGAGCGGCGACAGCAGAAGGGCCGGCTGCCAACAGCAGACGATGCCGCGGGTGCGTGGGTCGACGGGCGCCGCCGCCGGCTGCTGCTGATGCGAGTCCCAGGTGTCCTGCGTTAGCCGGCTGGCCGTCCGCTCCATCTCGATACACTCACCGCTCTGCCGGCCGGCGCGGGGGCGTCAGTGAGGCGAGAGACGGCCGGGGAAGGGCGGCGGACGTGGCGTGGCGGGGAGCGCGTGTGGGGTCGCCGGCAGGTGCAGGTGACCCTCCGCCACGCCAGCGGAGACATGTCTCAGCCGTCGACGCCACGGGTGGGGATAGATTACGGTCCGACTTCCGGGTCTAGACGGCGGGAGACTAGACGGCACGTACAGGACTGCATACTACACAGACGACAGACTGTAGGATATGCGCCTGGTGCCCCGCAACACCAGCGGAGGCAAGCTTAAAGAATCGGCGGCACTGGGCGGAAAAGGCTGCAATGTGGCTTTTGGGCGTGGAGAAAGCAACAGTCCCCAATCCCTCAGGTGGGCGAGACGCAAGGCAGAATTCGTGGAGCACCTGTGGCGCCTTCGTGCATGCACTCAACAGCGAGAAGCCGTGTTTAAAAGACGCCCGGCCCACCCAGAAGTGACACGGCACTCATGCACCTTTGGTTGCGGGCGCACCCGCGCGCCCCAGCGCGAATTTCGTAACAGGGGCGTCATGTTAGCCGCCTACCAAAATGGATGTCTCGGCGTTCGAAACGTATTCCAGCGGTGCGGCATGAATTAATTAGAAAGCTGCACGCAGCGCTCTATCGCGCACGCGATAGCAGTGACAGCGCGACACCGGCCCGCCGGGGCGCCGCCCAGCGCCGCGGCGGCGAGCGGCCAGCGGCGAGCGGCGCGGCCCCGCCCCGCCCGAACGCCCACCTCTCCGAAGAGGGTGATCTCGTCGAGCAGGTCCTGGATCTCGTCGAGGCCGCCGCACAGGTCCGAGACGGAGATGAGCTCGCGCCGGATGCGCACCTCGCACTCGCTGGCCGAGTCCAGGCCGGAGATGCGCGAGCGGGTCTGCGCCGACGCGCTGTCCGACGCCATCGCCGCGCCGCCGGCCGACGACGGCGGTCCGGGCCGCGCGCCTGGGCTGTGGACAGCGTGCTCTGGTACCGACACCACAAATGAGGCGCGAGTACAGCACCGGTCGTGAAGGGAAGCACGTATCATGCTGCTACTTGGACGTCTTTGTCGTGCGTTTTCTTCACACCAATGGCATTCATGTAACAATGGCTAACAGTGGTTAAGTGGCAACCACTAGGAGCATGCCTCACTGACACCAGGGTAAACTAATGTTCAACCATATTGCTTGTGTCAGAGACAGCCACAACAGCAGGAACAGCAGCCCGGTACGTAACGGCCCAGTTATGTCCCGTCAGAGTTTTGAATGAACAGGATGGTGAAGCGCGGAAATAATCCATTTCATAGGGGGTTCTGGTCCGACCACTTCACAAAACGTCTCCCCGCCCCGAGACTGCGAGCCAGCTGTCTTCACTGCCCAGGTCCCGCCCAGAGCAGCCCGCGCTCGCCGCGCCCCGGGCCGCGTCCGGCGTGTCCATACCTGTGCCGGGGCGGCGCGTCCTCAGGCCGGGCCCTGCCTGAGCGCGCGCCGCGGCCGCAGCTCCGACCCCAGCGGCCGGCCGTGCGTGCCTGTCCGACGACAGATGCTCGGCGCGCGCTCCATCACGGTCCGGCTTCCGCTCTGGCCCGGCCGGCGCGCGCAAAAACGGCCTCTGCAACGTGGGATATGCTGAGCATGGGCGGAGGAGGGGCCTAATGGGAGTGGTGCTGTTGTGAGCGCGGCGCGATGCACAACAGGAAGGAGGCGGCTCTTCACCATGTTTTGAACCAAGCGTTCGTCTGGTACTGGCTGGTTGCTGGCTGGCACGCTCCCGGCCACTGCTCACGGACAGGTGCCTTGAAAGCGCACGGCTAAGATGTAAACCGTGGTTCATTGACCTCCAAACAACCATTGCAGATAATGGTGCTCCGTTGAATAGGAGAGCAGTAAGGCGCATTGCACCGCGCGGTTAGATTTATGAGGTATGCACGAATGACATGGGTATTTGTGACATTTGTCATCTGTGATACTTGCTATTCATGTCATATGTGAATGAGACTAGTGAAAGCTGTCTTGCACTGAGCCTGGCCTTATCAGGCTCGCCATTTCACAAAACGAAGCCGGGGAATTTCAACTGATGTACGTTTGTCTTTATTGTGATCGAAGTGTCCTGAAAACGAGAACTCTTGTGTTGGTATCGAGCGAAGTGAGGTGACTTTTCTTGCCACGCTACGCCACCCCACGCTACCCTCCATGGCCTATGCCCTCCTGGGGTTTAAGTGAGCAGCATCCGAGGACAGCTTCGAAAAAGCTGGCATGATCCGTTCGCCGTCGGTCACGTGCGCCTCTATAAGGTAGCATTCAGATCGCTTAATGGCTTAAGTATGTTATCTTTGCTTGCCCCGTGCCTCTTCCCGAATTCATGTCTATACGTTTTATGACAGCCATAATGTGGCATAAATCTTTAAAATCTTAAACTTGAATATTTTTAGCCGGACAATCGCCACTGCTTGCGCAATTTAAACTACACTTTCGCTAACACATTGCCATTCCCCTCCATTCAACGGTCATCGGTACAGTCGCTACAACGGCGGGCCACCTTTGATCTGGGCTCGATCTTCGCCCGTGCCTTAAAACCTTTCAGCGATTTGCAAATGTTACGTCAATTTTTATAGAAAAATTTGGCTAAGTTCTGGTAAAAGTGGTCAAAGTTGCAGAACAGCTTCTCCTGGTCAGTAATTTGCTGGCATACAAGTAAAAGCGTAATGTGATGTATGCATGTGCATGTGAGAGCGTAAGTTTCAAAGACAGTGATTCTTGCTGCAGAAACTGTGAGCCGGTACGACCACCGGTTACCAAAATATAAGGCTGTCAGCAGCACGCCAGGCCGGGCCAAGCTGGACCGAGAAATTTACGAAATTTTCCCATGCCACAAGTTGAGATGGTGCAGCTGGCGTGTTCTTCCATACGGAACTCATTATTGTGCTAAATGTAATCATGTGTTCCCACGCTGAAGACGCCGAACAGTGGAGAGCAGCACTGAGAATAACAGACATTTTTGCCCCTTTCCACTCGACAAGATTTCTAAAAAAAACCTTGATATTTTACGAGTCCCTACAGACAGAAACGACCGGCCAACCCGCTCAGTTGTGTTACGAGGCAACCTCCAGTTTGACTCCAGCAACCCATCCAAAAACTCCCGGATAGCACTCAGTATGCTGCGCCGCTGCCACCTAACTACTGCAGACTGCCATGTGCTTTGTCCAATCCAGATCCCTCAGATTCCTGCTGAGCTTTATGTTTTGGGGTATTCGGAGTGACATCAAGACACATGGTAACGCGGTCTGAGAAGCCAAAACGCCACACACCGGCGCGATTTAACAAGCGCGATGCGTTACGGGCAGTGGCTGGAAAGAGTGGAGCTCGCTATCCCTCTCACTTAATCGACCTGGCTGAACGTGCTGCTGTTCGACCACAAGCCTATCACCCTCTCGACTCTCAGTCAAAACACTTGCATTATAAATCCACCCGATACAGTCACCCTACTGGAAATGTCACGGCATATGCCGCCGATCCTGTTCGTTCTTTCGCCTAGCCCACGTTCCATGTCACGGTAATAGTCTCAGAGGCCTGAAGATTCCGTGGCCCCCGACGATCCGAGCAATTGATTTGTTAACGAGGTCAGCGTAGGGGGAGAGGCTTTGATCGATCGTGTGGGGTGGAACACATGGGGAGGAGACCACCGACAGTCAGTCGTCTGCAAGCTGCGGCAGGAATCTCGACGAGGCATTTGAGCATCCTCAATGCCCAATAACTGGGGCAGCACCACTGACCCAACGGGGTGTCGCCAAAACCTGCCACGGTTTCGGAATGGGCAGACAGGACACGTCAAGAACTGACAAGTCACACTGCCACACAGCATCAATTCGACTTGTTTATCCTGCGATAAAACCCAACGGGTTTTTGTGTTCGAAGCAGCAAGCCTCCACGTCGCCAAGGAGACTAGGTACCGTACCTACTCGAGTAGTTAAGTTTCTACAATACGTCCGTTTGTTCTGCCGCGGTCACATGGCACATGCATTCAACAAAAACTTGCCAAACAAAAAATTGTTTATAGCCGTCGTACTCATTGATGCACTCTGCAACAAAAATCGTGCACCCATACGCACCTACTAGGCACCCAGCATATCACGTTTTGCGCTTTTTCCCAACAGAAACCGAGTCGACCGATAAAACCACCGAGATGAGTAAGTTCGTAACAAGCACGTGGCAACTTAAGGCCAAGCCGGATAAATACGCACCGTACATATAAACAGATGGTATGCAAGGCACGACTTAGAAACAGACACTGAAAAATGTCATACGCCACGAAACATCCCACCACCCATCACACAAAACTCACAGCGCACGGCGCCCCAAGTCCGTTACCGTCCGTCTTCTGCTGAGAAGACTGACCTCTAGTCAGCTGAGCGTAGAATCGATTTTTCCCTTTATGTCTGCAGAGCACAGAAATAACATCAAAAGTGGTATCGTTAGATAGTATTTGTTTATTTCAAACTCTGTTGACTCATTATCCGAAGAAGAAAATGTAGCGGAATGCACGTCATAAGTACCAATAAGTAAGTAATCATCAATACTTCTTGATGCAAGAGGGTTGAGTCAGTTCTAGCGCTCTGCTTGCAAGACCAGCGCATAAGTGCGCCGCAATGAGCCATTCGCGTGTGATGCTGGACAGAGCCGTGGTGGCCCGTTGAGAATAGGAAGGCGACTTAATCGTTCATGTTTTTGTAGACTATAATTTGATTGCCGTGTAAGTAAGTACTTATGCTGCTTACGCTATCTTTAAAAGTGATTGGTTCATTCAGGAGTCTCTGGCCGTCCATAAGTTGTGGGAACTCCTCAAATGTTGAGGGGATTGGGTAGTGGTAGAAGTAATTCGGGCTTTCGGGCGCTTCGACGGGGCCGTCATATGGTGCCTTTAGTGTGAGGTTTAGTGACAAAAATTTTTTTTCAATGTCTAGTTGGCCGTCGAGTGAGAGGAAAAATGTGATTTCAAAACCAGTTAGTGGATCAGTCATATAATGGATGACAATTGCGTATTCTATGCCCAAAGTAAGATAGCAGCCAGACTTCAGAAGAATTTGTCATCCAAATATGTTTGGCATAACAGCAAAATTGCTGCTGCAGTTTCAGAGTGTTTGTACTATTAATTTTAATGTTCAGAGTTTGATTCATGGTCACCAGCAATTAATGACTAGCAAGGCAGTGCTGTGGAGAATTGCATTGTTTAGGTAATGCCAGCAAATGTTATCTTCAAATTTTCACTCATAAGAATCTGATAACTCAGTATAATCTGGCCTAGTCTTAGTTTGGCACACATAAGCACTTGGTTCAGTGCATAAGTATTGTGTAGGCATCTGGTGCAATGAATGCTATTTTTTACAGACTGGCTGAAGAGGTGCTAAAAGTCTTTCATTCAGATTCAGTGAAAGGCTTCAACATGGAATCAAATTTTCAGTGATAAGTCATTCTACTCATCATTTCCAGTTCTCTAAAGTATATGAAGACCAATGTTAAAGATGCTCCCAGTTCCTTGGTGATCATTGCCACTACTGACACAGCACACCAATAGTGGCAGTGCCAACACATGTGTGTGATCTGGTTTTGCAGTGACATGAAATAAACAAAATTTCAAAGGGGACAAAATAGCCCCTGTACTAGAAAAAGTGTGGGTGACTGCACTTTGTCAGCTATGCATGATTGAGCGCAGACTACAGATCGGCATGCATTCAGGTTTTCTTAAGGGCATGTTAGATCAGTCCCAAGAATTTTGGCCTAAGGACAACTCCTAGTCCAAAATATTATAGTTGAAGTGCAAATTGATAGCCAGTTATAACATCACATAAAGTGAGAGTTATCAAAATTTGTACTGTAAATCACTTGAAATTGATGCAGCCATTTTCACTACCAACTGTACTCCAGCATTCTTGATATATGCATAGATCACCCCAAACCAAACTTGTGCCATGTAGGTGCTCCTTGATTTATGTGCCTCATTTATTATCAGCATGCAGTGACTTCTCAGAAAGCCTCATGAACAATGAATGTATGGATTGTTAACTGTTAATTGCTTGTTAGCAATGCCCTCCAACAAACAAAGCCTATTGGTTGCAATGAATTTGGGTGTGCTTATTGAGTGTTTACTGATGCTTGAGTATGTTGGGACAAAAACATACAATGCCACCTTACTGGACTGAAACTATGTGGTAAATGTGCAGTCTGCAAGCCTTCATACAATGCTAATACCAGAACTCATAACTGTGCTAGTAATCCACCAGGATGCAGCCATTTTCACCTCTTTTAAAACTGGTTCAATGTTTATTTTGTGGGCTGAGCATGCAGTCAAGTTATTGGATCCAATATCCACCCAAATTTTTGCATGAATGCTTGTAATTATTTTGTCTTGCTTATCACCAATGGATGTCAACTTAGTTTGCTGAACAATATTGTTGAGCCTAACCAATCCCATGGTGAGCTGATTTTAACCAATGAGATGTGACTGTGGGCAATGTGGTATGGCTCTGTCATTAAGCTTCAATACATACCTGCCAAACACTGGGTATGATGACAGGTGGTTATCATGCCTTGGCCCATGCCAGGTCAAGGTGTCCTTGACTCCTGACAGGTGGTGATCATGCCATCCTGTGTGATGCCATGCACATGGTCTCCTTGTGATGATTTAAGTGATGGTGATTTGTATTGGTATTTAAGCTGACAATGAGCTGTATGTGTGAGAATTTACTGTTCAAAAAATGATCTCACAGATGCAATGATGTGGGCATATATGCAGAACATTATTATATATGTTTGCAGAGCATTATTCTATTTTAGTCATGCAATGCATGTATCCATAGCACTACTTCATGCAGTCCCATTATGCACAACCCACATCCATATGTCTGCTGTGCATCGCTGCTCCTCTGCCCAAAGCTGTATGTCTTGCACACCCATTGTTGCAGATTGTACAAGCCTGGCTCCGCCATGGCTGAGCTGGACTTCAGTCCCCTGTCTCCCTCGTGCTACCGATCCCTCACCGACAAACTGTATGACAAGAGGAAGGTCGCTGCCGCCGAAATTGAAAAGTAAGCACTCACACCAAAGCGCACAAAGTTTGCAGGAGGGTGAAATCGGTGCTTGTGTTGCAGTTTTGTGAATGCCGTCACATCACGCACCCTTTCATGGTGCTCCAGTGCGCCCAATGTATTCTGCTTGTCCAGGGCTCAATGTGCTCACTTTGCACTGTGCACAGGGTGTATACATGTCTTCATCAGCATTGGAAGCTGGTGTGCCTGACACATTAAAGCCGAAAACAGCTGGCTTCAGGCGGAGCGACGAGCATTGACCACCAACCGACCTTAACCCGCCGTTGTCGGTCAATTTGTTGTCAAGGTTGAGCCGTGACATTGGCCGGCAGGATGGTGCGCGACTTCGTCACGATGAACAGCACGGCCCTGCTGGACCAGATGATGGGCACGTTCAAGGCCATGTGTGACTCGCCTAACGCCAACACGGTCAAGGGCGGTCTGATGGGCATCGGAGCCATGGCCGTCGCCATGGGGCAGGTGGGTCCTCCGATGGGGCTGGTGGGTCCTCTAATGAGGCTGGTGGGTCCTCCTATGGGGCAGGCGGGTTCATCCATGGGGCTGATGGGTTCTCTGATGAGACAGGTATGTCCTTCCATAGGGCTGGTGGGTTCTTCCTTGGAACTGGTGAGTCCTCCCATGGGGCAGATAGGTCCTCTCATGGGGCTGTTGGGTTCTTCCATGGGGCTGGTGGGTTCTCTGATGAGGCAAGTGGGTCCTCCCACTGGGCTGGTGGGGCCCCTGATGAGGCAGATTGGTTCTTACAGGATGCAGATGGGTTCTTACATGATGCAGATGGGTTATCCCATGATGCAGTGGGGACCTGCTGTGGGCCAGGTGGGTCCTCACAGGAGGCAGGAAGATCCTCTCATTTGTCAGATGGGTCCTCCCATGCAGCAGGGGGGTCCCTCCATAAAGTAGGCAGGTTCTCCCATTTGGCAGATGGGTCCTCCCATGCAGCAGGGGGGTCCTTCCATAAAGCAGGCAGGTTCTCCCATTTGGCAGATGGGTCCTCCCATTTGGCAGTTGGGTCCTCCCATGAAGCAGGTGGGTCCTCCCATGAAGCAGGTGGGTTCTCCTATGTGGCAGGTGAGTCCTCCCACTGCACGGACGCCCCATCCGGCTCCGCTTACCACCCAGGGGGTGGGGGGAGGGGGAGGCGGATGGCTCCCCTTGTAATCGCCACTGGAAGGCGGACGCTGATCTCCCCAAATCGCCGCTGCTCAGCAGGTGTGATGACAGGTGTCTGGGTTTACCCGACTGCCGAATTCTGAGCAGGCAGTATTGTGGTGATTAAGAGATGACTTTTTTACTCAGATATACCAGCATTACGTGGTTTTCGACTGTCGTAGCGCGCCCACAGGGTGAGAGCCTGGAAAGCAGCACAGCGCTTGTTACAAAAACGCCACGACGCGTGTCTTAGTGCGACTCCGCGCGTCACGCGTCACGTGCCTGCCTGTCGTGCCCGCCGCATCCAAACGCCGTAGTCTGGCATAACCCTCTCCCCCCTCCCGCCCGCCCGCCCTGCCGCAGCCGGCCGTGTCGCCGTACGCCGCCTCCATGATCGACACCATCCTCGCCTGCTTCGTCAAGTCGCACGAGTCGCGCCTGCGCTACTACGGCTGTGAGGCACTCTTCAACGTCTGCAAGTCGGTGCGCAGCGCCACGATGCCTTCGTTCAACCGCGTCTGGTGCGCCATGGCCCAGCTGAAGACGGACCCGGACCTGAACGTGCGCAGCGGCGCCGACATGCTGGACCGCCTGATGAACGACCTGGTGGTCGAGTGCCCGAGCTTCGACCTGCCGTCGCTGATGCCGCACCTGCGCGACCGCGTTTACACGGACGAGCGCATCGTGCGCCAGCTGATCATCACGTGGCTGGGTCACCTGCACTCGCTGCCCGACCACGACCTGCTGCCGTTCCTGCCCGAGCTGCTGGACGGCCTGTTCCGCATACTGAGCGACCCGGACGACGCCCTTATGACCAGGTGAGTGCGGCGGCGGTGGGGGGGGGGGGGGGGGGCGAGGGACGCCTCGTGGCGGCGAGCTTTGGATGCGTGCGGCGGGAGATGAGGCGCGCAGGACGACCAGTCGTTGGCGTGTGCTCAGTCCTTTGCGCGGAGAGCTTGTGCGGCGCGGCCCCCGGTGGTGGAGTCACCCGGGGGTTCGTGGCAGGCGTTGACATCGATTTGGCCGCCGGTGCGTGAGTGGTTCAGTGAGCGGAGGCGGGCGGGCGGATCCGGTGCGGTCGCTGCTAGGCGAGGAGCTGGGCTGGAATAGACAGAACCCCGGGAAGGTGCTAAGTGCGTTTTCGAGGAACATCATTCCCAAAGATGAGACAGACGTTATAGCTTTATTTATGGGAGAAAACCAGGAGAAGAGAGATATAGGTGGGTTGATATTTCGGCAACATGCCTTTATCGAAACATTAGTATACGTGAAAAAGTGAAAAGGCTCCGGGAACACGCAGAGCCTGATGGCGAACCCGTCGTTGCTCTGTGGGTGGTAGTCGTGAACTGAGCCGCGCCTCTGGGTCTCTCTATCTTCTGCTCGTTTGGGTCTCTGTGCACCGAAGCCTCAAATATCTGGGTCTGCCGCTCCTCTTCCTCCCGGTCGTATGCTCAGTGCAAGAAGCGTGGCATCACTGTAGCTAGTGGGGCTGTTGTTTGCAGCCTTTTAGTTAACCCGACACGTCGTTGATGGCGACGATGGCCAGGATGGCAATGGTGACGATGGCGAAGTCGTCTCGTCCACGTCTCTCCGTGCCGGCAGCTGTGAGAGCCTGCTGCAGCGTTTCCTGGACGCCATCCACAAGCGGCAGGCCACGGTGGACTTCGCCAGCATGATCTCCGTCCTCATCATCCACATGCAGTCTTCCGACGCCAACACACAGGTACGAAGGACTTGAGACTCGGCGAACCCAGGCAGCATTTGGTGAGAGTGGTGAGAAGTGATTGCTATTGCTTGGTAGGCGTTCTTGATTTTGCGTGTACGAAATCCGTAGTCTGTGGATATAGTCATCAATCCTCACTTTGTATCTACTTTCCTGGGTAGCATTAGCTGTCTCACCCTAGACGGTATGTGATATGATTATGATATGTCTTTGGAAAAACAAATTATGTTCGATGTATTAGTTACAGGTCTCAAAATTGTGCCGTAGTCTTTTATAATAGTTGTACGGTCACATTGAAAGCGTTTGATTGTATCTCATCGGTCATCACGGCTCTCAGAATCAGTTGCATTGTAATTGAAACGGTTGTGTTTCAACTTTGAACATTAAGTCAAGCAGTTAGGAATGCCTCGGCCACGTTTATATCAGTGGTTGGACTGCATGTGTAGAGTAATTGTAAGATATTTCAGCACGCTGGCATGTGAAACTCTGAACACCAGAATGTGCTGAAATCACTGAAATGTGCCAAGCTGACTGCTGACTGTTTTTTCGGTATAGTGAACGCCACGCACGAGCGTTCTTCTTCACGTGTACCTTACAGACGGCTTGGCACATCACGCGCCCGTGATGTTGAAGCAGCACATTGCACCCCGTGTAAAAATTCCACAAAATATGAAATTGGCCAGCGTTAATGCTGCCGTCCTGTACTTAGGCGGAAGGGGGATATTTGTTGACTTTCATTGAAAGTTTAGCTGTGTCATGTGCTCCTTTGATGAATTTCGCGGTGTGGTGTTATGTTAGTCCGTACAGCGGAATGTACGAAGGTATTTCAATAAGCCAATCCACAGTTACATTGATTCGGAACGGAGCAGTGGTCAAGTGACATGACCTTGCATACCACAGCTCAAACGCCTTATTTACAGACCCGTCACAAGTGAGAACACTCGCAATCCAGCCCCCCCCCCCCCCCCCCCCCCTCCACCCCGGCCGAGATTGTACCGCGCATATCTTTAGTACTGTTTATCGAAGTGTTCGCTGTGTTTGGAATACCGCCGCCGCCGCCGCCGCCGCCGCTGCTGGCGTCCGGCCGCGGTGAGCCCCACGTGACATTCGGTGGCGCCTCGGTCCCCCGGTGCCGTCGCCTCAGCGTCGCTCCCCGTCCTGCAGCGCGTCGCCGTCTCCTGGACCAAGGACTTCGTGGCGCTGGCCGGCGCCAGCCTGCTGCCGCACCTGGCCGGCGTCCTGCTGGCCGTGCTGCCCTGCCTGGCGCTCGGCGACGACAGTCGACAGCGTGAGCACGCGGCGTGTGACGCCGACCGTCGGCGCCGACGTCAGCGCTGACGTCACGGCGGTCGCGGTGGCGGCCACCGCCGCGGTCGGCCGGTCGGTGGCGGCCGGAGCCATGTCGGGCTCGCGTCTCGCTGCGTCCCTGGAGCCGGACGACGTCGGCCCGGGAGACCCCGCGCCCGTGTTTTTTTTCAGCGAGCTCGGGGTGTTTCGGAGCGGGCGTTGCGGCGGGCGGACGGGCGTTCCCCCGCGCCGCGACGTTGCCGTTCACTCGGACGGGGTCGGCCTCGGCTGCTGCACCGTGTGGTACTGTCGTGCGGTGATACTGCATGCTGGCGATGCCCGACTGCGCGTGCTGCCGCCCGCCGCGTCGTGTCGCGTGCGTCGGTGTGCTGGGAGCTGGTTGCCGGTAGGTCTGTGGTCCGTCTAGCCCTGACCTCTCGTGCTGCATCCGTTGGGCAAGGCGTGCGCGCTCTATTTCACCCTCACTGGCCCTCACACGGTACAGTCTCCAAGATCTCGGTTTCTGCGCCCGCTGTCTCGGTCGCCTCTCGACGCTTGCCTTCCCCACGCCTCCCACTCTCCAACCCATGCCCACGGCCGCCCCCGCTCCTCCCTCCCCAGCCCCGGCGCTCACTCTCCCTGTCGCGTCCGCCGGCAGTGACCAAGGAGAACGCCAAGACCATCAGCCACAGCCTGATGCAGCTGATCCGGACGGACACGCAGGTGGTGAACGCGCCGTTCTCGACGGCGCCGGCGGAGGCGGCCGGCCTCAGCCTGCAGGCCGTGGTGGAGGTGCTCACCTCGCGGCTGGCCGACACGCAGTCGGTGCCCACCAAGGTGGCCATCCTCAAGTGGTTCCGACACCTGGAGGAGCACCTGCCTGACGCGGTGAGGCCGCCAGAGAGCGCTGAGGACGTTGCAGTGTGCTGACCGTCGGCCAGGCATTGTGCATACACTTATGCAGATTGCTGTATTAGTTGTTCATGTATACAGTTCTGCCATGTTGTTCACCATAATGATGGAAACAAAGATATTTTGCTTATGCAACCTAGAGCAGTGATCGCTTGCTGCGTAGGGGGTTGAGCCAGGCTTCCCCAATCCAGAGCTGTGATCCCCTCGACCACCGACGCGCACCAGGCCCTCATTAGTGTGCGTCACTAGCGTGTTATGGCCGGCGTCACCAGCGTGCTGTGTTTGGCGTTACAAGCGCGCTGTGCCCGGTATCGCTAGCGTGCTGTGTCTGACGTCATGAGCGTCCTGTGTCTGGCGTCACCGCTGCGCGCTGTGTGAGCGCGCTGTGCGCTGGACGAGCGTGGGTGGCGGTGGGTGCGGCGCACGGACGGCCCGCTCGGGCGTCGGCTGACCGCGGCCCGCGTCGCTCCGCAGATGTACGAGCACCTGGACAAGATCTTCCCGGTCCTGCTGACCAAGCTGTCCGATCCTGCCGACGAGGTGGTGGTGCTCAACATCCAGGTGCTGGCCGAGATCTGCTCGGCCAACCCGGCAGGTGGGTGGGCGGCGCTGTCTCGACGGGCTGGGGCCGGTCAGGCGGGCCCCCGCTGGGGGTGGCTCCTGCGAGTTTGTGTGTGCTGGGAGCTGACACTGAGGATAGCAACGGCAGTACATGTCGGTGGTAGAAAATGAACGATCACGATAACTTAACTAGACAGCTAGCTAGCCCTGGCCCAAATGCAATTTTCCACATTCGAAGATGTTGAAGCAAGCATCTGACATGATGAAATAAGCTCACCTTTAACAATTGATATACTCGAGCGAAAACGGCTGTTCTAGACAATGCATCTTCGCTTTTTGATAAACATGCTCCTCAGTACGTCATCGCTTGATTGTGTCATCGCGCCTTGCACAACATTGATTGAGAGCCAATTGACGGACGTTATATTTGGAAGTCTTGCTCACGAAAGTCAGATATGAACGACTCGACAATTATGTTTTTATTGGCCCGGATCGCTACATGGCCAGTGGAATGGCTTTTATTTGAATAGCGTTATTATGGCGTCATGGATGCCGGGGTGACCTTGAAATAGTCTGCATCTTCGCGGGCGTGTAGCTCAGAAATTAGGGGGGGGGGGGGGTTAGATCTAAAGAAGGGCAAAGTTGCGAACTGCACCGAATGATCGTCAAGATTTCTGGGATATTTCAGGCTAGACTTGAAGGCTATTCAGTTCAAAACGGCGTACAAGTGTGGAGCACTCCCAGAACTGTACTGTTAAACTGAGTTATCGACCTTCACTTTACCAGGAGGTACTGGTAAAATGTTACAAAAACATTGGGGTGTTCAGTCATTGATAGTGCTTGACATTTTAAGTTGCTCTTATGATTATCAGTCAACACGTGACATATATGAAGGCCTACCATACCATATTTTATCATATTGTATTATGCACAGCTCGTAACGTCGAGTACTGGTGATATATCGAATACGTTCTCTATAACGATGTTTTATAACCAATGTTCTCTCTATTCTTTCCCTCTAGTTCAGTGATCGGTCGGTTTTGGCTCGACCTTGATCTGGCCTTCATACCTGAAGGTCAACGTAATTAGTTGTAATCCTCCTTTCATTTGTGTGATTTTCTCAGAAGCAATCTGGAAGTTGTACGACTGTTAACACTACGTTGTCGGATCACATTGAACGATTGCCTACAAATCACCGTCGTTGACAGTCATGGCCTGATTAAGACCCGCGAAAGGTCAGGAACCTTACGAGGTACATCTATGTTTTATACCAAAAGATCGGCTGTTCAATTGCTTGGAGCTGTGCAACATTTGGCGCCACTGCACGGCGCCGTTCAGAAAATATTCTGACAAACTTTCGGGGCAGTTGCATGGCCTAATTTTACCCGATCGTCTGTGAACTGATACTTTCTGGGATGGTGAAGGTCGATAACTCAGATGGGGAACTCTGTACTCATAATGTCGGAAGCTTTAGTATTATTGTGTGGGATTAGAATATGGCCATGATAGAGACCTTTGATATCGGGTATGTTGATGAGATGTATTCATACATTAGAATCAAACGATAAAATTTCCATGAGATGTGTTTGCACGATGTGCCGATGCGGATAGACCTCTTTTGCGAGGAACCGACAACGTGACCTGCAGGTCGGGCGATATTGATGCCGGGGACGATAACCTAACAGCTGTGCGGGGAACCCCCGGCAGCTCAGACCGTTCCAAGTGGCACTGAACGTCGAAAACGAGCTCCGCTTATGCCCGTGATGACCGCCGTGATACGCGGCCTGTGCGCTTCGTTCACCGCTGTGCCTGCCCTTCACAGCTAGCTAGGACCACTCTGAGGTTAGAGGTTATCCTACCATTGGAAATCGGGTGTTTGAAAACGTCACTAGAAGAGCCCGTTCAGCTGAGAGGAACATCTGTCGCTGGCGAGTATCGAACCCAGGCCGCCGTGCCGTCTGAGCGAGTGACGCAGCTCTCCGGCTCATTTACGCCCTTCTCCCTGTCTGCCAGCCCCGCAAGAGATCGTGGGATCCCACTACTTCAACACGGTGATGGACAGCCTGCTGCAGGTGTTCGAGAACAACCTGGCGCTACTGGAGGACCGAGGTCCCATCATCATCCGGTCAGTGTCCCCTCACCCCTCCCCGCCCCCGGTCAGGCTGCCTACCGACGCGCTGTTCCCACTGTCCGCCCGCAGAGGTTCGCCGCCTTCCGCGAGTCGGTCTAACGTCCCAGCAATGTAAACGATGTCAACATGCCGAGGAATGGATGACAGCTTCTTTATGAACCTGTGATAAGACTGACAGCTCCGTGATCGATTTGATCTCGAACCGCTTGTGCTCGAGCATAAGCTGGATGGCTTACCGTTTGCACAGAAGCGGATCTTCTCGGAGATGTGTTATTCGCATGTGTCCTGACTGCAGGCAGCTCATTTTAAATTCTAAGCCCACATATGCACGACACATGACACAGCCGGTGGCAGCTCATGTCGGCGCATTGTCTGGCGGCGAGGGCTGTCGACAGCGCGCCCATCAGTGATGCACCCTCGGAAGCCGCGGCAGGGTCAGTGACACGGCGCCGGCACCCTCCAGTGATCGACCGCGCGCGCTTAGCAGATCTGTGCCCCGGCGTCACCATACCACGCACGGGGTCGCTGATGGTCCCCGGTACCCGAAGTGACGAGACTGCGGAACTGAAGGATAGGGCTGCGGTGCGGAGATATCCGTGGCGACATTGCGATTCTTATGTTAGTGAGCCATACGCGGATGGCATTACGGCCACGCCCCCTGCGGTATTGTCGTATTTGGCTCGCCTTCGCGTGCCACGTCCAGCACTCTGCCCGTCTTTGTGACCTCTGAGTGGCCCTACCGCCGCCCCACAGCCCAGCCAGCTGTGCATCCTGCTGACGCCGTGTGACCTCTGACTGACCCTGACACCGCCCGCAGCCAGCTGTGTACCGTGCTGACCCTCTATGACCTCTGACTGACCCTGACACCGCCCCACAGCCAGCTGTGTACCATGCTGACCCTCTATGACCTCTGACTGACCCTGACACCGCTCCACAGCCAGCTGTGCATCCTGCTGAGTGCCGAGCAGATTTTCCGCACGCTGGCCGTTTCCCTGCGGACGAATGGCAACCTCGACTTCGTGTCGCTGATGATCCGCCAGCTGAACTCCATCCTGATGACGTCAGCGGAGCTGTACGAGCTGCGCACGGAGCTGCGCGAGCTGCGCACGGAGGTCAGCGTCGCTGGCTGCGGTCGGGGCAGTGGCTGGCGGGGCGATGGACCCGTGGTGTGGGTCTGTGCGACGGTGTTTGGGGTGGGGCTTCTTATGGGGAAAGCTGGTGTCGCACCTTAGCCAAGCTTGCAGACGGGCGGGGTGGAGTGAGGAATGTAGAAAATAGCCCAGCAACGTTCTTCTAGTCGCTGTCCTCATTTTCATTGTCTTGGTCTGGATGACTGTCCCTTAGAGTAGCATTTATTGATGTCTTCGCAGTTGGGTTGACATCGCTGCGTCCGCCTGGGGGAGGGGGGAGGGGGACAAAGATGAGTAGGTGGGCTTGGCCATGAGGGCCACCTGAGCGTGAACAGGCTGCTGACGTCATCCAGTGCGCGATCACGCCAGATCACGTGTGGTGCAGCCGTGGGAAGTAGAGAGCGGCCCAAGCTCCATGAATTTACTGAAGTTTTACGTAGTCTGAGAGTTTCGGATGGGTAATCGTGGCGTCTTCGTGACGCGAAACAGCGGCTTAACGGCACTGGCGCTACGAACGCGATGGTGCCGATGATTTGGCGCTACGAGTGGTCAGGTGTCGGCGGCCTGTTACGGTTGTCGTAAGCTGCTGCCGTTTGATGAGGCGGTGGTGTGCGGGCCTGGTGCCGCGCGTGACCAGCACACCGATGCTGACTGCGTCCTCAGGAGAGCCGCTCCCTCTTCCTGGAGCTGTACCGGACCTGGTGCGACAACCCCATCGCCACCATCTCGCTCTGCCTGCTCACCCAGAACTACCATCACTCGCTGGCCGTCGTCAAGTGCCTGTATCCTTTGAGAGGTTTGGGACTGGTGGCGGGTGGGGCGCCCTCCGTGCTGGCACAGTGGAGCGCACTAGGTCCCTCAGGGTTCATGTTTGTACACTGTTGCAGTCAAGTCATGTTCACCTCTGTCACATCAGTAAGATATAAACTGATCTGTTGCGCTCATCTAATCGCCTTCATGTCTATGTATTATCCGAGTCCGTCGTCTGTATATTGTCTACTCCTCAAACCGTCGAACGTTGCCCTGGTGGTGACCTTGACGTAGCCACACAGCGGGAGCATCGAGGTTACGGTTGACTACCTGACGGAGCTGGACCGGCTGGTGCAGCTGCTGGAGACGCCCATATTCACATGTGAGTCCCCGGCAGACGAGCGCGTTCGCTCCTATTGAGATGGCCTGTCACGACATTGCGGAATACACCGGAGCGCGGAATACGTCGCGCGAATGTCTCTGTAGCCTTGCGCGTTACTCATTTTTCTTCTGCGCCCCTCGGCTTGGCTCTTGGACAGCTTTCGGATGAAACACTCGCACCCGGCTCCGAGGGCGTCTGGATGCCTGAAAGTATAACTATGTTCCGTCAGTAGTTAAACCAAATATGTCAATAATTCCTTGTAACGTCGCAAGTGTCGTCAGTCAGTGCAGCATTGTGCAGTTGAAGACGAGAGCCACGCTTGTTTAGCCGCCAGTTCAGCTATCGTTCCCCTGCATCACCTGTCATACCTCGCGTTGACCTGACGTGCATTTCCACGCTTTGTCGATGTTGATGGCCGTTATATCCCGTCCACCGTCTCGAACTGACCGGCGCTGCTGCGTTTGCGCTACCAGACCTGCGACTGCAGCTGCTGGAGCCGTGGACGTACCCAGAGCTGGTGGACACGCTGTACGGCATGCTGATGACGCTGCCGCAGACCGAGGCGTTCAACATGCTCAGGAGACGGCTGGACTGTGTGCCCTCCCACCGGCAGCAGCGGTCAGTGCCGGCCGGCTCGCCGCCCCAGAGGCGACCATCGCCGCCCCGGAAAGGCAGCCGGGGCTGTCAATGATTCGCCCGTCCTGTGTTGCGGCATGACTGGACACGGAGATGATGTGCTGCTCAGATGTAGTCTGCGCTGTTACGAAGTTTACGACTTCTGTGTCAGTTCGTGCTTAATAACATCCAAGCGTTGTTTACCAGCACATCGGTAGAATTGGCGGGCCTGACCTGATTCCGCTCTGTCTGCCACTAATCCTGCTCCCAGATCCGGCTTCACCACGCCGGTGGACTGAGTTCTCGTCATGTTTCTGCAGTGACGCCTGGTGTTCCTCTGACCTCTGACCCGTCCGTCAACTATGGGGCGACCGCATGTTGATGGTTGTATGGCTGATACGGTCACCGCTGATACGTACTGCTGATCTTACGCGTGCATGCTGATACGTACTGGTCCATGACCTCTGACCAGACCGGCCTGCGACCCGCTCTAAGGCTCGGCCCCCGGCTTATGTTCCGCCTCGCGCGGTGACCTCTGTCAAAACGCGCGGTTCACCTGTGACCCATGACCTTTGACGTAGCTCGACCGGCGACCCTTGCCCGCGCCGTGACCGTGACCGTGACCTCTGACCTCAGGTCGGGCGGCGACCGGTCGTCGCGGCCACCGCGACCTCGGCTTGCCCTCAGCGACGAACAGATGCTGGCCGAGTTTCGCCGCGCCACCGACAAGCGGCGGGCCTATCGTGAGCACTCGCACTCGTCCAACCTGCTGGACAAGCTCAGCTGATAGCCGCTCGGACAGGGTACGGTTCTGGTCCAAAGGGATACACCGGGGTGGCCAGGCGTGTGTATACGTGTCAAGCGCGGGCGCGTGTTGGAGTGGATGTGATCCTACACTTCATGCGTCGTTGTTTTCGTTAGGTGATGGTGGAATACCACCCAGGGGACCGAAGGTATCGACTACGTGGACTCGTTAGATTTTTTCGAGGAAATTGTCCGTCGAGCTGACTCCGCCGGCGTTCCGTGCCGCAGACTGGCCCTGGCCGAGCGGCGGCGCCCTCCGCTGACCGGTGCTGCTGTCCCGGCGGGGTCTGGGCCCGTCGGTCCGGCCCAGGGAGCTCGTCCAGCACCGGCGGTGGCGGACTCCGCTGACCGGTGCTGCTGGCCCGGCGAGGTCCGGCCCCGTCTGTCCGACCCGGGGAGCTCGTCCAGCGGCGGCAGGGCGGACTCCGCTGACCGGTGCTGCCGTCCCGGCCAGGTCCGGCCCCGTCTGTCCGGCCCGGGGAGCTCGTCCAGCAGCGGCGGTGGCGGACTCCGCTGACCGGTGCTGCTGGCCCGGCGAGGTCCCCCCTCTGTCCGATCTCGCTCAGCCTCGGTGACCCGGGGAGTTTCTGCTGGCCCGGCGAGGTCCGGCCCCGTCTGTCCGGCCCGGGGAGCTCGTCCAGCAGTGGCGGGGGCGGCCGCCGGCCCGGGGCGCGTCCGCCTGTCTGCCGGCGCCGCTCACGTGGTGGGGGGCACAACCGCCCGTCTACAGAGCGGGGGAACGTGTCGGCCGCACGCCACGTCTGCCTGCTCCGCAGAGGACTGTTTCGCACGCGGCGGTCGGCCACTGCGTGGAGGGGGGGGGGGGCGTCGAGCGCTCCGCTCGGCCCGACGCGTGTCCTCGCTGGCACGTTTCGCTCCGGGTCGAGGATGAACGCCAGCCGCACGTCTCTGTGTGCGGCGGTGCGAAGCGCGCGCGGGCACGCTCAGTGAGATGGCGAAGTGTGCTGCCGTGGCTCGCGTGAGCGTGCGGGATGTGCTAGTTTGATGTGGCTCGCGGACGTGCGGTGTACTCACCTCTGCAGTATTCATTCCAAATAGACGGATTTGCTAATGTGCCGTGAATATGTATCGTGTGCCGCGTTTGGGGATCGTGTACTTCCGGCGGTAGTCGCGCCCCGCTGTGTTGATCATTGTAGCCCATTGTCAGGTGAGCTGTTGGACGTGTTGCGGGACGCATGCTGTGTATTTCTCAGGTGTAGACTGTTTTGTTGGACGAGTCTCACGTGGCCACTGCGTCCCTATCACCTGTCCTGTCATCGCCGCGACCGACGTGTTTAGCCCTGCCCTGCGGTGGTTTATTTCGGTCCGTTTCAGCGTTGTTTGACTACGGGTCGCTTCCTGCGTCTGTCTGGCGTTTGTCCACCTTCTCATGTGATGGCATCACTCGATGTCTCTCTCCTTGTTAGTCCCTCCTACATTTCCTCCCTCGAGCTCCTCCTGTCTGGCTTCATCCTTTCCGTTCGTCCGTGCCTCCCCTCCCCTTCCGTTCGTCGGCGTGTCTCGCCGCTTCCCTCGTTTGTTCACCCCTTCTCCCGTGCAGCCCTCATCTCCTACCGCCCGCCCATCCCTGCCGTGTTCGCGGCGGTCTGTCATCTTTTATCTGTTCTGTCATCTTTTAAGCCGGTACTGTCTCACCAGATCTACCCATAGGATCTTGTTTTACCCAGCAGTGGTCTGTAAAGCCCCGTTCATCACGCTCGTTCTCGGTGGCAGCGCCGGGCGGCGAGCCGCTGCGGGGGCTCGTGTTGCCGTGCCCTCCTGTTGCCGTGCTGGTACCTGTCCCTTGCCGGGGCGGCGGTACGACAGTGAGCTTTATTCGGGGACGGCGGCCTGTGCTGCTGACGCGCTGTGCCTTGCGGAACGCCACGAACGGGGCTGCGCCATTGGCTGTGGATTGTGGTGCGTGCTTGGTGTCGGTGTGCGTCGCTTGCAACTAGCCTCATGGTGGGACACATAATGACATATTGGTAACCTCGTTGTATTCGCCACTCCACTTATCGAGAAATATAAATGCAATTAAACTACTGGTATGCGGTGTGTACCGACTCGACATGCTGGAGTGCGATTATCTACATGTTTATTATGCAATCAGAGGCAGCGCAGTTTAAATAGATCAGGGTCTCACCAAGCGCTCGTCACGCGTTCATGCACACAGGGCAGACGATACACAGTTCCGATGGGCGTAACACCGAGTTCACCCTGCATCTGACGCGTGCTTACACTGGACGCGGGCGGAAAACATGACATCCTCCGCGGCCAGCCATCCATCGTTTCCATCGCGAGTCGCATGACGCAGATAGTGTTACGTGAGGTTACGCGGTGCATAACGGTCCAACAAGAGTGGACGGGACCGACCAAAGCAGGACAGAACGAACCAGGGATGCCATCGCGTTAGCACTCCCCCAATTCGCTCATTTAGCATTCAAAAGTCGAAATTTGCGACATTCGCTGCTATCTACGTAGGACGCAGTTCTGAAACGCGCCATCTCGCATCGCACTCGCCCAGAACCGCTCCCCAGATATGCGCCGGGCCGCAACGCACCCGCCCGCTTCATCCCACAAGGCCGCGCGTCATCAGCCCGCCGCCGGTCAGCGCGGCGAGGCCCCAGAGTGGCGCGCCGGGGCCGGGTGGCCCGCCTGGCGCCGCCCCCCTCACCAGCGCCACCAGCTTCCCCAGCCCGCCCAGCCGCTCCCTGATGTCGCCCAGCTTCGGCACGCGCGCCGTGTCGAACGGCAGCCAGGAGAAGTACGCCTTGAGCCGGTTGTGACGCAGATCGCTCTCGATCTGGCGCAGGCGCTGCGTCAGCGAGCGGTTCTGCGACGCGCGCCGCAGCTGCGCCAGAGCCGCCGCCGCGCTGATGTGCACCTCGCCGGTCGGTCGGCACGCACTCTCGCTGACATTGAAGCGGAAGCCGTAGCGACAGACGCAGTTGAAGCCGCCGCGCTCGTTCAGGCACGTCTCAGAGGTGCGGTCGCAGTCGTCGGCGCCGTCGAAGCACTCGTCGATGTCGACGCAGCGCCGGAAGTAGGCGCTGAAGCGGTGGCCGCGCGGGCAGTGGCACGTCACGTTCAGGTAGTTGCCGATCAGCGCGTCGAAGTGCCGGTTGTTGGCGGCGTCGAGGCGGCACTCACGCTCACCAGGCCGGTTGTCCGGCATGCACGGGTTGAGCGGCGACTGCGTGCACTGTTCGAGCGAGCGCACTGCGCGCAGCGGGCAGCACACCTCCGGGCAGAAGCTGTACTGCGCGCACGCGAACGGCGCGCCGGGCGAGCGCACGCGCGGGTCCTGGTTGCCGACCTCGGTCGAGCCGGCGCTCTGCATGCAGTCGGCGTAGTTGTCGCAGCGTTCGGTGAAGTACGCCAGCTCGGGCATCTGGTGCATCGTGTACCAGCACATGAAGTAGCTGGCGGTGGTCGTCCAGCGGAAGCGCTCCACCTGGCTGTGGAACGGGTCGGGCGACTCCGCCTGCGTGCGGTGCAGTTGCACGCAGCGCCACGTGTTGTCCTTGAGCACCCTGTTGAAGTCGTCGCGCCGGTCGGCGCGCCACCGTGCCACGTTCGCCACCGTCGTCGGCCCCTTGAAGAAGCGCTGCAGCTCAGCCAGCGGGTCGAACCTCCGGGCGGTGAACGTCTGCTGCGTGACCTTGTCCAGGTACCAGAGGCACCGGTAGAAGCTCTGCCAGCAGTTGTCGGCCACCGCCGAGTGCAGGTTGCTCAGAGAAGGCCGCGGGAAGCGCAGGTAGAGGTTGCGCGAGGGCACGCGGCCTTTGTCACGCCACTGCCGCTCGTAGCGCCAGTCGATTGCGTTGAACTTGTGGTGGCGCAGCGCGTACGCCACGTTCAGCACCATGGTGGTGAGGTTTTGGGCGGTGATGCCGCGGCTCTCGTCGTACTCGCCGCGGATCGCCATCTTGCGACTGACCTCTGCGTACAGCGCCGCCTCCTGCGCCGCGTTCAGTCGTTTGATCACGCGCTGGAACGGATTGATCACCTGCATCTGGAACTTGCCCACGGCCTTCTTCATGCTAAAGGGGGCTACGCAGACCAAGCAAGTCGCGAAAACTAACGCAAAGCGTGTCGCGTCGGCTGCCATTTTGGATTCAACTTGTCAAACTGAGAAAGCTGCCAGTGGCGCTGGACAAATCAGGACATATCAAGGGGTGCACTGACGGGAAAAATTCTGATCGATCTCCCACAGATGACGCAAAAAGAAGCACATCCTGCTTCATCCACGTGTACGAGTATGTTCTTTAGAAGCAAACTGTTAGAAGGCACGTGAGATCATGTCCGCACCTCCTCTTCCGTTGGTCATGGGCGGGTGTCTGTGAACACGCATAACACTTGAACCCCAACTCAAACTCTTGAGAGAGCTTAAGCCTAAATGCCCATTAACTGAGGCTGGTGGTGATTTGATGTTTAAGGGCGCGTCGGCATCCGGGCCATTTTGCCCTCACTCGATGACGGTTATCTACGTCTGCGACGACGCGATAAGGGTGTTGTCAACTAATAACAGGCAGTATCACTGGCACACTTGCACGAAGGGGTGAGTGAAAATAATGTCAAAGTCAATGTGTGCTAAAAAATGCGAGTGTATCTCCAAGTTCACCACATGGGTCTCTACCGAGTAACCGATGAACGGGCGCTGGAGGGAAAAAATCGTCATCTTTCCGTCTCAAGATGCCGGCATGAGATGACGACATGTTCTACAGACAACCGGTCCCGCATCTATCACACCGTGGCACATCCCTACGCGTCAAGTAAAACGAGTGTGTTGCATATGTATGACCCAACCGAAGCCTACAAAGGGTGATTTCCTGGAAGCGGCTTCGGCGATGGGAAGATTCCCAATCACCTAGTTGGGGCTTGATTTCCCTGAAAGCGTGAAGATGCTGGACGAAATTGTTTTGCCACGTATTGCGGACGCATTTGGAAATGACAGACTTCAGATCTCGAGCGGGTACGTAAATTGGTGTATGTTTTCTCTCACACACCGCAGCGAAAGCTGCGGTGTCTGCTTTCTCGTTTCCTATTATCCCTATGTGGCTAGGGATCCACATACATGTGACACGGCAAGAAGTGTTGCCCAGCCATTTCAGTTCCTCCCAAATTGAGCGCGTCAGAAAGAGTGATCACACGACATCGCCGTCGGGTCTAGTGATAAAAGTGCACTAAGTGAGTCAGTCGAAATGACTACATCCCTTTCAGGACGACAAGCAACGTACTGAAGCGCTGCAAAAATAGCAAACAGTTCTGAGGAAAAACTGACATGCGATGCGGGAGGCAGAGACCTACGGTGTGATCACCGTAAACAAATGCGCAACCCGTTCCTGTTGAGCCCTCGGACCCATCAGTAAATATTTGTAATGAGTTCACGTATTGTGAGATCCGTCGCAGCGAATAGCTG